AGTTCTTTGTAGTGCAAAAATTAAGAATAATTGGTACAGTCAATGAGGTTTACCAAGGACAAACAGAATATGCATTTGAGCCTCATGAGTCACTTATTTTTTAGGATTTCTGATCTACACTGTCTGTTATCATCAATTCCAAAGTAACTTAACAGATTAAAATTACAGAAAATACTATTAATATTAATGTAAGATCAACCATTATTGTATTTCATGCATTTAACTTGTTTTTATATCATGTAAGACTAAAACCATTGACATTCAAAGCCCAGTCCCATATCAATCAAGTGAAGTATGTGTGTATCTAAATGTCAGTTGTACTGTTTTAAAGAACATTACTTGACCCATATCAATATTAATGTACCAAGAAAATAATCCGTTGAAAACCTTAATCAACATTACTTGAATATTCACAGAAACTTTATTATATCAGTATTTGTTGCCAGAATTTTGATCACAGGGACAATCTCGAAAAAATCCTCTAATAATGTAAGCTTGTTATATTTACATTGCAAAAACTTGAATAAGAACAATAAAAATATCCCAAATAATGCAAGCCTGTTAGAAATTTATACTTACATTGCAACAATGTGATTTAATAATCAATAAAATTATCAAAATCCTCAATATTTGATTTTATAGCCAGATCACTGCACAACAAAGAAATAAGTTACAACAACATAATTGAAGAACTGCATTCATTCATTGACACACACACACACACACACACATATATATATATATGAGAGAGAAAGAGAGAGAGAGAGAGAGGACATTTGGGTAGCAATTCTTCTTTTTCATTAAATATGATAAAAAAAAGAATATTTTATAAGTTTACTATTTAATTCTTGGGTCCTTACAATTTTTCTGTTTTGGGAATGAGTGTTTGGAGAAATTGTCTATGTCTATATTTTTTTTACTGAGCACTTTAAGATAATACTTTACACATTTTCATGAGTGCTGAAACTTTGTGCTAACAAGTATTGTTAATATATTTTTGTGTGCTTTTCTATATTGGGTTGAGTGAGAAGCATTTTAGTTGTAATAATTTAATTCTTAGTGGAGTTTCTGTTTAGTTTCTGAACACAATAAAGATGTTTTAGCCATATATATATATATATATATATATATATATATATATATATATATATATCTTTCATTAAAGATAACAGACAAGGTACTGTAATTAAGCTTATTTAATTTTTCATGTGTTCAAACAAGTTTTCTTTTCTGGACACAGAGTGTGTAGAAACTGTTGAAATGTTCTGTAATTCTGAGTACTTTCGACTGTACTTTTAGCCATTATCAAAGATGATTTTATTTTTACTTTCTAACTGGATGTGTGGATTGTATGTATGTATGTATGTATGTATGTATCAAGAGCTATAGGGATGTGTCCAGGAAAGAACACACTTGTTCGAACACAAGAAAAAATTAATAAAATGCCTACTTGCAGTACCTTGTCTGTCTTTCATGAAACATGTATGAATGAGAGATTGCTGCCTAAATACACAAATATATATATATATATATATATACACACACACACACACACACACACACACACATATATATATATATATATATATATATACATAAATGAAATGGATTAGGTTCAGTTAATCAGTTAGTTAATATGTTTCCTGTTTATATGTTATTTTTATTGATACAATTTAAGATGCTCTGTTTTTAATTAAACAGTATTAATTACATTTACCAGCCTGAATGTTCAAAATATTTTCATAGAAAATATGTGTTCTCTGACAGGAATCAAACCTAACCCTAATCCTGGCTAACCATATGCTTCTCTGTAGCTAAATGGTATCGCACATCAGATCAAATGATGGTTTTCATATAAGAATACAGGTTGTAGCAGAGCAAGGACAAAGAGCAATGGCAAAATATCAAATGTTGCTTACAGTAAGGAAAGCCTGAAATTGTAGAAAATCGTGATAAATGACATTCTGAAGGAACATGGCATATAAAGGAAGAAGCTGCATCCATGGAATTTTCACAGGTGTTGACAATTAAGATTATCTATTATCTTATGTCTCTGTTCTTCTATTACTCCTTGTATCTTCTGATTCTCTTCCTTATCCCTCACAATCTCTGATGCCAGTTATTTTTTTCTAAATATTATAGAATTATGGATTAGTTCCATATGAAAAAAAAGAAATACTCAAGTATTTATTATTATTATTATTATTATTATTATTTTCTCTTTCATCTTTCTTTTGTTCTATGTCTCCATAAAGAATTAATAGATTCCATATTTTACTTCATTTCATTTCACTTTCACATAAATGCACTTGTGAAAAGTATGAATCTGTCTTTTCTCCTCTGCCACATGTATTAAAAAGCAGGGTAGACTAGACTCTCTATCCTTAAGTTGCAACTCGTCTAAGGGAAGGAAAATTCTGAATTCCAAATTGTGGAGAAAGCAATGGGAAACCATTCTGATATATTTCCTAAGCAGGCAGTGCAATTCACAAATGATAAAGGAATCTGTGAAGAGTTATGATTACCTCCATCCTGAAGTGATAGTTAACAAGCTAATGCCTTGCTTTCATTTTCATCCTTTTCTCATGTCTCTATATGTATGTACATATTTTCCTTTAAACTGGTTTTTATTTTTCCTCAGCTTTCTTAGTTCCTGCCTTTCATCCTTTCAACTGACTTTTTCTTCACACCTACCTTTTTTCACTTTTCCTAATTCCTTTCTGATTGAATGGTAATGTTAACCATTTCCTTATAAGTAAACATTTGGTCTTCATTAACTGGACAGCAAATGCCACTGTCAGTTGATATTTATAAAATCTTTCTATTAAAACATTTTTTTCAGGAAAATACGTTTTTCAAGTTCACAATTATTTCTCTTTCTCGTACTGATAGGGGTTTTCTTCCTAACATTTTGTTTGAAGTAGTGAGGAATGTCAGCATCTTGATTATGTCATTATTTTCTCTTTGAGTTACATTTACTATCCATTTTAATTGTTACTAATGCTGAAAGTCCACAAGTGATGTGGTTTCTGTTATTTAGTACAGTTCTTTGTTTATGATTCTGTAATGCCAGTCCATGGGATTTGAAGAAAGAAGTACCTTAATATGACCTAAAGGCATCCTTTACTCAAAGCCACTTTTAAACATTGATCTGAAAACGTGGCTGTATACTGTTTGACAGTTTAGATATTGTAGAATTTGGTAGTAGCAACAACAGTACTTGACTGTAAAAGAAGTTGAGTCTGACTGACTAACCCAATCCGCTAGGCAAATTGATAAGTGGTTTATATAACAAACTGGGAGATTCCATTCTGTTACCCGGGCAAGCCTATAAGTTGTAAGTTCTGATTGGCTGATGATTCCAGTGTGGATATTGTGCTCAATAAATATCCAGCATACTGTGACAATTCAAGAGAGGGAAATGTATTGAGTTACAACTTGAGTTTATTTTGTCAGCTAGCTGGACGCTAGTTGGAAACCTCCTTGCGAAGGTGAGTTTCATACTCTTTACTGTTCAGATGTTGCTGAACATGTTTGGCACCATGCATAACATTCATATGAAGTCTCAATCTGACAAGGTTATATAAGAATAAACTCACTTTTTAGATAAATGTCTTGCTTTTATAGCAGTTTGTAGTGTTGGGTGAAACTCATCCATAGCACAGCCTGTTCTCTGTTCGATTTCTTTATCTGCACAAAATTTTGTATTGGTAAACATTGATAAAATAAGTGTACTATACTTCTTATAGTTTTTTTACAGATAGATTTTATTTTATAATTAAGTAATGAACATTTAAAACTGTATAAGTATTTTATAATGACACTATATAAAAAAATATAATTGGCTGCTACTGCTACAACAGTCTGATTATTCATTTATTCCTTAATATTATTTTAGCTGTAAAGTAATCAGTGGATATTATAATTTTGTATTAACATTGACTTCAGAATGTAATTAGTCAATAAAAAATGTCATAAATTTTAGCCACAAGCAGGAATTGAACACAAAACTAAGTGAATAAATTACAATCATCACCTGAGTAAGTTGCAAACATGAAATTCGAGAAAATATATTAATGTAAATTTTTCAAAAAATGTCTACACTTGAGAGGTGAGAAATGTCGAGGGTGAAATTGAAAATTCGTATAATCTTATTAAATCAATTCAAGAAATTTTACTTTTTTCTTTTGTTTGTATTGTTTTTCTTTTTGTCTGGAAAAATATTAGAATTATGAGTTGTGGAGATTTGTTATGATAAAACTTGCATCGCAATAATTTTTTTTGCTCCACATTGGCACTTACATGGGCCACTTAATGTCAAGTCTTATTTTACAAAGGCTGACTTTACACTGAATGAACTATGAATATTTAACAAAACAGAAATGATTAAAATTGAAATGTTTTATTTTTAATAATTTCCCCTTGCCCCCAAGAAAGACAATAATGTCACTAAGATACAAGGTGTTACTGAGAGTGAAAGAGAAATGGGGAGAGAAGAGCAATAAAAGTTGCCAACAAAAATGGTGTCTTCTGTCTGAATATCTGGGATGAGGAGTTATCATTATTTATATTTTTTACATTTGAACTAATGTCCTTATCTCTGTTGCTATTGTCACAACATTTTGGCCATTTTGCCATCCAGTAATCATCAGGTTTCTGCCAATCCAGTTAACTTTCAGGCAATTTGGAATTGAACACTTTTATTTAATGAACATGTTAAATTGTTTCTCATTCTGTTATCTATGCCTTTTTCAATACTGCTCAGTTATTGTTAGTCATGTTTGTACTGAGTGTAGATTGAATTCATAATAATGATGTCCCTTTTAAAACTAATCTATATTCACATAACATTGAGATCAAAACATGGCAAAGCTACAAAGATAGAAAGGAATAAAGGGGAGAGTGAGAAGATAGAGGGAAAGAGTAAAGAAAAGAGCAGGGACATGATAACAGATAATCTTAGATGGATTGGAAATGTTAAGGGAGATAATGAAAAGACACTAGAACAATTTGAGAGAAGAGCAGAGACATGAGATGATGAGTAATCTTAACTGTATTGGAAGGGATATGGGAGTGAATGAGAAGATACAGGCAAAGAAAGAGAAACAAGTAGAAACATGTGATAATGGGTATCTTAAGAGTATTGGCAGGGATATGGGAGTGAATGAGAAGATACAGGCAAAGAAAGAAAACAAGTAGAAACATGTGATAATGGGTATCTTAAGAGTATTGGAAGGGATATGGGAGTGAATGAGAAGATACAGGCAAAGAAAAGAGAAACAAGTAGAAACATGTGATAATGGGTATCTTAAGAGTATTGGCAGGGATATGGGAGTGAATGAGAAGATACAGGCAAAGAAAGAGAAACAAGTAGAAACATGTGATAATAGGTATCTTAAGAGTATTGGAAGGGATATGGGAGTGAATGAGAAGATACAGGCAAAGAAAGAGAAACAAGTAGAAACATGTGATAATGGGTATCTTAAGAGTATTGGAAGGGATATGGGAGTGAATGAGAAGATACAGGCAAAGAAAGAAAACAAGTAGAAACATGTGATAATAGGTATCTTAAGAGTATTGGCAGGGATATGGGAGTGAATGAGAAGATACAGGCAAAGAAAGAGAAACAAGTAGAAACATGTGATAATGGGTATCTTAAAAAAGAGTATTGGAAGGGATATGGGAGTGAATGAGAAGATACAGGCAAAGAAAGAGAAACAAGTAGAAACATGTGATAATGGGTATCTTAAGAGTATTGGCAGGGATATGGGAGTGAATGAGAAGATACAGGCAAAGAAAGAGAAACAAGTAGAAACATGTGATAATGGGTATCTTAAGAGTATTGGAAGGGATATGGGAGTGAATGAGAAGATACAGGCAAAGAAAGAGAAACAAGTAGAAACATGTGATAATGGGTATCTTAAGAGTATTGGAAGGGATATGGGAGTGAATGAGAAGATACAGGCAAAGAAAGAGAAACAAGTAGAAACATGTGATAATAGGTATCTTAAGAGTATTGGCAGGGATATGGGAGTGAATGAGAAGATACAGGCAAAGAAAGAGAAACAAGTAGAAACATGTGATAATGGGTATCTTAAGAGTATTGGAAGGGATATGGGAGTGAATGAGAAGATACAGGCAAAGAAAGAGAAACAAGTAGAAACATGTGATAATGGGTATCTTAAGAGTATTGGCAGGGGATATGGGAGTGAATGAGAAGATACAGGCAAAAGAAAGAGAAAAAGTAGAAACATGTGATAATGGGTATCTTAAAAGAGTATTGGAAGGATATGGGAGTGAATGAGAAGATACAGGCAAAGAAAGAGAAACAAGTAGAAACATGTGATAATAGGTATCTTAAGAGTATTGGCAGGGATATGGGGAGTGAATGAGAAGATACAGGCAAAGAAAGAGAAACAAGTAGAAACATGTGATAATGGGTATCTTAAGAGTATTGGCAGGGATATGGGAGTGAATGAGAAGATACAGGCAAAGAAAGAGAAACAAGTAGAAACATGTGATAATGGGTATCTTAAGAGTATTGGCAGGGATATGGGAGTGAATGAGAAGATACAGGCAAAGAAAGAGAAACAAGTAGAAACATGTGATAATGGGTATCTTAAAAGAGTATTGGCAGGGATATGGGAGTGAATACAGAAAAGAAAAGAAAACAAGATACAGGCAAATGAAATGAGAGAAAAGAAAGAGAAACAAGTAGAAACATGTGATAATGGGTATCTTAAGAGTATTGGAAGGATATGGGAGTGAATGAGAAGATACAGGCAAAGAAAGAGAAACAAGTAGAAACATGTGATAATGGGTATCTTAAGAGTATTGGCAGGGATATGGGAGTGAATGAGAAGATACAGGCAAAGAAAGAGAAACAAGTAGAAACATGTGATAATGGGTATCTTAAGAGTATTGGAAGGGATATGGGGAGTGAATGAGAAGATACAGGCAAAGAAAGAGAAACAAGTAGAAACATGTGATAATAGGTATCTTAAGAGTATTGGCAGGGATATGGGGAGTGAATGAGAAGATACAGGCAAAGAAAGAGAAACAAGTAGAAACATGTGATAATGGGTATCTTAAGAGTATTGGCAGGGATATGGGGTGAATGAGAAAGATACAGGCAAAAAAGAAAACAAGTAGAAACATGTGATAATGGGTATCTTAAGAGTATTGGCAGGGATATGGGAAATGAGAAGATACAGGCAAAGAAAGAGAAACAAGTAGAAACATGTGATAATGGGTATCTTAAAGAGTATTGGAAGGATATGGGAGTGAATGAGAAGATACAGGCAAAGAAAGAGAAACAAGTAGAAACATGTGATAATGGGTATCTTAAGAGTATTGGCAGGGATATGGGAGTGAATGAGAAGATACAGGCAAAGAAAGAGAAACAAGTAGAAACATGTGATAATGGGTATCTTAAGAGTATTGGCAGGGATATGGGAGTGAATGAGAAGCTACAGGCAAAGGATGAAAGTTGACCAGAAACATCAAATAAAGAATATTCTCAGCTATTTTAGAATGGATAAAGGAGAGAATGAGAAGACACAGGCAAAGTAATCAACAGTTGTGGAAGTTACATTGATCCTGTTAGTTTATTGATTATTTCGTTTTCGGGATTCGACAAATTAAACCTTGTACAAAATTATATTATTCTTGAAATTCTATGATTACAACTAAAAGAAGATAGTATTTCAGCAAGATGGGTAACACTGTTAATTTATTATCAAACAATTTGAAAATTAAATTAAACATTTTAAATAAATTTTAATTAAACAATTTAAAGAAATTAAACAACAGTTAACACATTTTTAAATTAAAAGTTCCTTAACAAACTAAAATAGCTGCACTGATCTGTTGTTTATCACAGCTGCCAGATTTGAACCTGTGACAGTTTTTTTTCTCTGGGAGCATGTACTAACAGCTGTTGATTAAAGAAATCCTTGATTTTTATGACTTATAAATCAGAATAAATAATTCAGAAATTTATTGAAAATCAGCTACAAAATCTGCTTTTAGAAGACCAGAATTGTTGAAAACTAATCATCTCAAGAACTGAATCTATCAAGAAATACAAAAGAAATTCTTTATCTTACTCCTTTTACAGATAGATGTTATCATGTATAGAACTGGTGTTTTGAAAATTGAAAACTGCACAAACACTCTACAATGACCCTATATTTATTCAACAACAACTATTTTCTCAGATCAATGATTAAAAATGGCTTCAAGTGAATGAACCCTTGAAATTTTAAAATAACTTCAACAAATAGCAAAAAAACATCACTTGAACAACAACTAAAATAGATATTACATGTAACTAGAAAGGAAAATAATGATATAATTAAGATATTTGCCTTCGATACTACATTAAACAAAAGGTTAAGAAGGAAACTACCATCAGTACTAGAAAGAGAACAAGCAGTAGACTATTTTTTTTACAATGTTCACCTTGTACAAGGGCCAAGAGCCACTCAAAGTAGAGGGACACAGCATAAAAGGCACAGTTTATGGGGATATGTTGAAGATAATGGTTAACTCTAGACTTGACTCTAAACTTGAAATGGTTAAGATTGTAGGGATTGGGGAAGCATCAGTCTTTTGAAAGTCAGTTCCTCAAAGCAGCAGTTCATGAGACGAGAAGAAATTGCTTGGGTGGAACTTGCATCTCTTCAATAGAATGTGAAGGCAACAAGAATGGTTTGCTACCATGTGCCTGGCATAGTGGTTCATAGACATGAAGATTAGAACTGGTGGAACTAAGGAGTGTAGTTCACCCAAACACTTTCCATCAAAATAGTGATAGAGCAGCAAGGGCTTGTGATGTTACATCTCTGGGGAAGGAGTTCTAAGGTAGAAAATAATTCATCACCCACAAGGATTCAGAGATGCTTTTGGACTCTATCGAGAGTGGAAAGTGAAGAATTGACAACACCTACCCATATATAGGAGCAGTATTTCATTTTCAATCTGATCTGTCCCTATTCTCCTGAAAAACTATTTTCTTTTAAGAGAAAGATTTTATAAATTTCTACCAATGATAATACTGAATCTCTAGTTAATTAATGCTGAATAATTTTGTCATTATGTATAGAAATAATGTTTTGAAAATTGAAAACTGCACAAATGCTCTACAATGACCCTGTATTTATTTCATCTTCACTTTTTACCAAAGTTATTCTGTGGGCCTAACTAGAGGCTCAATGAGATAAATGTCCTTCAAGACCTTTCTAAACATAGTGTTTTTTGGAATATTACATGTGGTATGGATTATCTCCCCTTATACATCTTCTGTACTTAAATAAGCCCGGTAGGACACATTTCATTCTAAATTGAATAAAGTTTCAGTTAAGTTACACCTGCATTCATATTTTCACTACAATTCATTCAGCTTAGAATTGCACAAGTAACATCATTCCCTTTATGGCTGTCACAACTGGAAAACCACATTCAACATAGTAAAAATAACCCACTTGTAAACAAAGTCAAATTAATAAAGGCAAAACTGGATTTTGCATTTGTCCAGCATTTAGATGGGAGAGAAGATATTGTGTCATTGAAGGATTTGTCCTCTATATGAGTAACCCTCAACTCCAAAGAATTTACTAGGAATTAGCACCTAAAAAATAAGTCCACTCTGAAATGGACACTACTATTTCAAATTCAGATGCAGAGTGGTTTACAAATCAAAAAACACTTCAAGTTGTAGTTTTATACTTTTAAGCCAGATAGACAAGCAAAACCCAGGACAACAAGCTCAAACTAGTCAATGTCAGAGGCAGCTATGTGAACCACTACAACAGACCCACAGGAAACTGTGTTAATGCAATGACTTTCACCCCTACAAATAACCAGCAGGGAAGAATGTGGTATGGATTATCTCCCCTTATACATATTCTGTACTTAAATAAGTCCAAAAGGACACAATCTATTCTAAGTTGAATAAAGCTTGAGTTAAGTTACATTCGCATTCATTTTCTCACTACATTACACTTGCATAAAAAAATGGGCTAAGTCATATTCTTCAGAAAAAAAAATGATCATTCCAATAGATAAGATATATTACAAGTTTCCACAAATTATTTATCAATTATTTTCCTGTTTGACTACTATAATTACATATCATTCTTATGTAAAAAATTATTGTTTGTGCATAATGTTGGATAGAATTTTTATATTCTGATTTTGCTTAGATTTGGCTTGACTGGTTAGAATTTCATTCACAAAAAAAGTTTCTTATGCATTTGGGAAAACTATCCGTTACATTTTCTTTTATGCTTAAAACTTTTCAGGTTTCTTCTTCTATGTGCCATGTCCCTTCAGGATGTTACCAATCATGGCTCTCCACAATTTCCTGTCCTTTGTAGCTTTTAATAAATTTTGTCTTTTTGTTATCTCTCTTTTTAGATTACTGAAATTTGTTCTTGGCTATCATTTGATTATACATAAATTCAAAAGTTCATTTAAATAATCTTTGTTTTATATTTCACAAAGAAATTATCTTAGGTAAAATTTCTTGCCTTCCATCAGCATGGCTGATGCTAACATCAACAAGTAACTTATTGCACCTTGTTATCTAGCATCTTCCACTGATAGGAAGTGGAATGATTATATTGAATCAATTGCTAGATCTGCTCTGCAGAAAATTGATTCACTGTGTTGTTTTTCTTGCCAGAATCTATTGTCCATATTTATAAATCTACTGTTGATCTGTTCATGAAATATTGTTGCCACTTCTGGTCAGTTATGTATCTACTGATTCTTGACAAAATTCAAAGACAAATCTGCATTGTTATTAGTCCTGATTTCACATCTCAGCTTTTGTTACTTTCCTATTGCCATAACGCAGGTTTCTTGTGCCTTTTCTATAAATATATTCAAGGTAATACTTTTGATGGGCTTTTCTCTTTGATACTTCAACTTCACAAAATTTAAAGCTAGTACTAGATTGGCAGCTAGGTCTCATCATTTTACAATTGAAATTGCTAGATGTAACCAGAAGTTCTATGCTAACAGTTACTTGCACTTCTCACTAGTAGAATACTTTTCTGGCTTCTTATTTTTCTGTCAGCTATGATCTTTAAAAATTTAAATGCAGCATCAATTTTTATATTCTATCTTTTCAAATCATGTTCTTTTATTGACCTCTCTCCTCAATATTGTTTTTATCAGTTTTTTACACTCTCAATACCAAATATGTAATTGTATGTCTTTTGTAATATTGCCCACATATCAAATACAT